CCTGTATACGTTGATTGACAGATGTCTCGTCCAGTCAGCGGTGAGTAATCCCAAACCAATGGCGCTGTCTCAAACTATACCTACCTCTTCCGGTTTGTCTGATTTGTCGTTGTGTTTTCTGACTTGTTAATTTGTTTTCGGATTTGTCGTTGTGTTTTTTGACTTGTTATCATGTTTTCAGAATTGTTGTTGTGTTTTCTGAATTGTTATTTTGTTTTTTAGATTTGCATTTGCGTTTGTAATTTGTTATTTTGTTTTCAGAATTGTGATTTGTTTTGCACTTCTCGGCCACCGTACATTCGCTATGTTTTCATCCAAAGTTGTGAATTAAGATTTTAGTTTCTGGGAAACTGCTGCAAAAGTATCATAAAATTCTAAAATAATCAAAAATGAAAATTTGCTGAAAACACTTAGTCTCAGGCCATCCAAGATGCAGATGAGTTTGTTTTCTTATCATAACAGATTTATAAAAATGTATCATTCCATCACTTGCTCGCCAATGGCTCCTCTGCAGTGAATGGGTGCCGTCAGAATGAGAGTCCAAACAGCTGATAAAAACATCACAGTAATCCACACCACTCCAGTGCATCAATTAATATATTTTGTAATGTGAAATTTTGGTGTTTGTAAGAAACAAATAATTAAGGCATTTTAACTGTAAACCGTCACTTCTGTAAGTCGCTTTGGATAAAAGTGTCTGCTAAATGACTAAATGTAAATGTAATGATTCTTTCAGTGAAAAAGTCCATGCTTGATCTTTACATATTTCTCTCCTGATTCAGACAAGATGACTTTTTCACTGGAGAAACCAACATTATGGATTATGGACCAGAAGCAACATCTTTGAAGCTAAAGACGCCTAAACGGTAGATTTGTTTATTACAAACACAAAGCCTTTCACTTCACAAAATGTTAATGATGGACTGGAGTCGTGTGGATTATTGTGTTTTTATCAGCAATTTGAACTCTCATTTCTGACGGCACCCATTCACTGCAGCGAATTTTATTTTTTGAGTCGTCTTTTCCTTTAATAGTCACATGACCATTGCTAGTAAACAAATAAAATATTTAATGTTTTTGATTTTATATATGTATTTATTTATGAATGAATGCTGCATAAAAATATGTGGATGGAATTATAGCTGTTGATACATTTTAATAGATTCACTTTCATTAGCAGAACACCTGCACCTATCTTCACTGCAAAGACATGGACAAGAACCAAGAAAGAGAGGCAGGACATTACATGTTCCTAGAGTAATAGATAGTAAGATACAGCAGGAGATACAGCAATTGAGGGGAGAAAAAGGAAAGGAACACTACACGACTGAGAACTGCACTCACCTCTGGGACTGTCCTCTTGCATGCCATCCACCTGAACTGCTGTTTCCTGTGAGATCAATGTGTCACGTGTGTCCATTGTGTCTTTAAGCCGTAGCTCTTGGAGTTGTTTTTCAAGCTGAATTGGCGCTCTATCGCCCGTCTTGTCCTGGGCGGCCCGCAGTCGGATCACTTCTCCTTGCAGGAGGTTGTACTTGCGTTGTAGCTCTGCCAGATCTCCTTGAGTACCCTCAGGACCACCTGCCTCCGGCACTGCTGCTGTAGTGGGACACAAGTCCTTCTGCATGTACACCTCCAGGAATGAGTCCTGCTTGATCACTGCAGCCTACAGACACAGCAACAATGAGTCATTTAAAATCTCACGATTTAGCACACGTCTCTGTCTAAATCCCACCTGTAGTGCATGAAGCTGAGTGCTGAGGTTCACAAGTCTTTGGCACACCTCCTACAACACAAATAGTTTGGACAGTTATCTTTGTTTTTATCTTCAGTATTTATTTTTTAAAGCTTCCTTAAGGTGTACCTCATTTAACATCTTGTCCTGCAGCTGGTTCCCATTCCTGTCCTGTGAAATTTAATAATAAATAAGAATAACACATCCAGTACGTACTGGAATGTCTCACAATGACTGAGGAAGCAGAGGAACCTTTACCTTGTTGGATGGACTGTTTATTTCATGGATTCCGTTAACCGATATCGTTCCTTTATCTATTTCAAGTAAAGAAATATGAGAGATGTGGAAGTAACATTGGAGTTTTATTTCAGTAATAGTTTTATTACCTTAAAGGGTTAGTTCACCCAAAAATGAAAATTAGCCCATAAATTACTCACCCTCAAGTCATCCTAGGTGTATATGACTTTCTTCTTCTGGATTTCTCAGACAAATCCAGTCGGAGTTACATTAAAAATTGTCTTTGATCTTTCAAGCTGTTTAATGGCACTCAGCGGGTGTTACAGTGCATCAGTCCAAAAGTAGTTAAATAAAAAGCGCCCATCCATAATAAAAAGTGTCTCACACGGCTCCGGGGGGTGAACAAAGTCCTCCTGTAGCGAATCGATGCATTTTTGTAAGAAAAATATCCATATTCAAAACGTAATAATCACTTTAATCTAGCTTGCGCTCACTGTTGTACACAGAAGTAGTTCCGGGCGGATGACGTATGAGTTCAGCGTTGAGCATGCGCCGCTCAGAAGTGACGAACGCGGAAGCACAGGGGAGAGATCAAAACAAAACAACGGTCACGAATTAGAAGTACAAAACGAGGATTTGTAAAGAAGAATGTCGGAGGATTTCGATATAAGCCAAGAGGAGACTGGTTTGCCTTTGCAACCACAAGTAACCAACAAAGTAAGGAAACATTGCTTCCTTTGCTCCTGTTAACAAATGTTGGTTTTCACGAGAACCACCCGTCGCATGCGCAGCGCTGACCTCATACATCATCTGCCCGGAACTGCTTCCATGTACAACTGTTGGCGCAAGCTACATTAAAGTGATTATTACGTTTTGAATGTGGATATTTTTCTTACAAAAACGCATCGATTCGCTACAGAAGGCCTTTGTTCACCCCCCGGAGCCGTGTGAGGCACTTTTTTTTATGGATGGGCGCTTTTTATTTAACTTCTTTTGGACTGATGCATGCAACACCAGCTGAGTGCCATGAAACAGCTTGAAAGATCAAAGACGATTTTTAATATAACTCCGACTGGATTCGTCTGAAAGAAGAAAGTCATACACATCTAGGATGACTTGAGGGTGAGTAATGTATGGGTTAATTTTCATTTTTGGGTGAACATCCTTTAAGGCCCTTTTGAAAATACCTGCACACCATGGGGACAATATAATACAATATAAGCAAAATAAGAAATGTATTAGCTTATATTTATGTATGTGTGTATATGACATACTACAATGTCCAGTTAATACTGTCTTTTACTGTCACGAATGACATATATAAATATAATTACAACAAATTTTAAAGTTAGGTGGGATTAATCAGGATTAATTACAGAAACCCCTACAATAAATCAGTTACTTCTTTTTAATCAATCAACAGCCCTGATACATATATGTGACCCTGGACCACAAAACAAGTCATAAGGGTCCATTTTTTGAAATTGAGATTTATACATCAATAAATAAGCTTTCCATTGATGTATGGTTTGTTAGGGTAGGACAATATTTGGCCGAGATACAACTATTTGAAAATCTGGAATCTGAGGGCGCAAAAAAATCTAAATATTGAGATAATTAATTAATTAATACTGAGAAAATTATTAATTTTTTTTGTAGGTATGCAAGCAGTGGTACAAGTGTATTTTCCCATCACTGCGTGTGTTTGTTTGTTTGTGCATTGGCATATATTTGTGTTCTGTGTGTGTGTGTGCTCGCAAGTGTTGTTCTCTGCTGCAGACCTCTTTCCTCTCTGAGTCAGTGCCATCAGTTGCTTTTGGCATAAAAGAAAAATCTATAATTTTGACCCATACAATGTTTTTTTGGCTATTGCTACAAATATACCCCAGCGACTTAAAACTGGTTTTGTGCTCCAGGCAGGGTCACATATGCTTTATTTCCCAGTAGAAATGATCTGGATATTCTTAAAACATTATATGTTTCCTTAAGAAGCAAAAGTGTATAAAATTTGTTTTCAGAGATTGTGGCAAATAGTTTTTTTTTTTTCTTCTAGTTTTAATTTCTCTATACTTTGTTAGATGTGTGCTTAAAAACTAATTACCACTGATGTAAGAACAATAAATGTAATTGAATGAAACAAATCTCTGAAAATACTCTTAATACCTTAGTTTTACTTACCTTGTTGTTTTAATAATGTTGTAATGTAAATATTTGTATATTTTATATACTTTTGATTCATTATATTTTTAATATTAATGTTTTTTAAATGTTATAATGTTAATATTTTACTGAAAAAAACTAGTCCAAAATACAGATTAAGAAATTGTGTACTGGTGACATTGTCACGAATCCGGTCTATGAACTTCCGTTTGTTCACCACAAGAGGTCATTATCCACCACATGGACTCTCACACTACACAGACTGACACACTAACCCTGGACTTCAGTTCCCACAATCCATTTCACTCTGATTACACACACGGCTGCAGCCAATCACACACCCTACATAAGCCATGGACTTCCTCTCTCTCACTGCCGAGTATTGTTTAACACTTATCACTCTTCCAGCGATAGCTAGTTTACAGAGCCATTCCAAGTTTTCTGAGTCTAGCCTTAGTCTTGTGCTACTTTACAGAGCCATTCCAAGTTTTCTGAGTGTAGCCTTAGTCTTGTTCATAGTCTGTTTTCCGTGTTTGTACTCTAGCCTGTTTTCTAGTTCCGCCTGTTCTCTGCCTGCCCTGAACGATTTAAACTGTCTTGGATTTCCCCTCTCGTCTCTGCCCTGATCGGATACTGTTTACCTCTCTCCTGGACTATCGCTTGTGTTTCGGATTACCCCTTTGGATTACCCTGTTTGGACATTGTTCGCCGGAGATCGACCACGCCCGTTTACTGGACTACTCTTGTGTCTTGCCCACGTTATACCTGTTTGCCATTGTTTGATCCAGGCCTGGGTGATAAAACGGTATCAATATTTATCGACGGTACACCTTCTTCGATATCGATATAAAAAATGTTCGATATAGCGCACGATATAGTCACGTACTATGAGTGACGCAGACCGCACACACAAACACGAATACATGCTGAATTGAGTGCTGTGCCTGCCTGTGATGAGGAGATTGTGAATAAAGAATGAGTATTAGTCGAATTTAAAAGAAACATTTGCATTTGAATGTTAGGTGTGCATCAGGGAGCGTCATCAGTGGCTAGATGCGGTGAGAATGATGTGAGTGACGTTGTTTCATTTTAATGTTTTGTTAGTCTAGCCCACGAGACGCGCCGCTGCTGCAGAGAAATATAGAAGCTCAATGCGGAGAAGATCTTGATTAGGTTAAAACCGAAACCAAGCCATTCACACAGAATGCATATTCAGCACAGTTTTAGACGGACAAATATGACTGCTGCACTCGCATCTCTCGCGTCTCATGTATAGAAAGCCATGCAAAGTTAAAACAGTTTAAACTTTTAGAAAACACGTTGCAAATTTTGCAAATTTTATTCCTTTTCGCTGCGTCTCATGTTTTTAAATGCAATCTGTGTGAATGGCGCTTCGGCTCTTTGGATTAAGCAATGCATAAATACATGATGCTGTTTTGTTCATAATTGTTTATGCAATTTACAAAATTATGTTTGATTTATAGGAGTTAACTTAGAC